GCAGCTACACAGATGTATTAATAAGCTGAATAAGAGCACTGCAGACTGTTTGCAGATACAGTGAATATTTAAACAAGTCAGGATATATTGTTGAAAAAGCAATGCCCATACTAGGAAACGACCCGCAACTCTATTGCTTTATCAGTAATCAAGTTCTTCCTTAACTCTTTGGGTTCTTTTTCTATTAGACATCTTATCGGTTAGAAGAAATTTTAAAAGCCTGTCAAAATGCTGTAAATGCATCTTCTGTCAGAGTTTCCGGCCCTCTTCAGGCTGAAAGAATTACCACACCTGCAATTGCATGCGCGCAATAAGAGCAGCGGCAAAGATTACTTGCTTAAGAATCCACTCGGTAGACTTCAGGTGTTAGACTGAGACCAATTCAACTGCTTGCAATTTATTCTGGTTTCAGCAATATTTGCAGTATTGCCCTAGAACGAAGCTGGTGGCGTTACAAAAGGCGATTGGAGTGGTGGAAATGAGAATGGGCAGCAGAAAGGAAAAAAACCAACGTTTGGAAGCTATGCTGTGTTCAAAGGCGGTCAGAAATGACGCTATGCTGACAACGCCATGTTTCTAAAATTACGCCTCTGACAGTACTATGGTTGGTTTTATTTTGATCTGCTTATAAACATATGCTCTTTACTCTGAATTCTTGCCATCAAGCAAAGAAACAAGATGTGGTATGTAAGCTTCATGTTTCTTATAATGAATGCAATTCATTATAACCAGTCAAAAACCTCACCACTATTCCTGGTTTTCAGATAATCACAAAATTTATCTAATTACTTATTACAGGACTTCTGACAGTTGACCACAAAGATTTAAAGGAACAGCGGCATTTTGCAGCATTGTATCTTGGCCTCTGAAATTGTAATTTTCCAATAGCAATCAGTGCAAAATCCAGCAACTAGTATCTGAACACTGCTTTATGCAACTCGGACTGAAAGCTGGACTTTCTGCATTTGTCACCTTTTAAAAAGATTTTGATTTCCTCTTACACATTTTAGTGAATTAACCAAGACATAGCCTATAAGGAAAAGAAACTGTGACAAAATACTGTGACACAACTGGAGGCAGTAAGATTCAAACCCTCTAATATTTAAAACAGTAGGCTGCCCAAGCGCATTAAATAGCTTTTTTCTTCTACAGCAGATATTTAATGGAGAGTTTTGAAATGGTTGTATAGCTATGGCCAATTATAATGGCTTATTGAGAGATATTTGTTGTTTGTTTTTTTTGTCTTGTTCTATTCTTTTATTTTCAACTCTTTTCTTTATCTCCACACTTACCCCTTTTTTTGTCTTCAGTCTGATCTTTGTTATCTTTAGGATTGCTGCTAGGTAAACTCACATCATGTTGCTGGTCCTGGGGTTAATTAAGAGTCACAGTGTAGTAACAGATAATTCTAAAATTAACTTGACTAGTAATTTAATCTACGGATTTAGATACTATTTAGAGTTCTATAGTTATACAAGATGAAGCTATCTCTGCACATACCTGTATTATTTTATGTAGGACTGTTAAAAGAAGAAAAACGGCAACTCTAACAGGAAGGTGATATTATCTTTCCTCTAGAAGGGAAGAGGACTGGCAAGTGTTCTGAGAGTTTGAGGTGGCAATTTGAATCCCAAGAGTCAGAGTCAGAGACCCGGAGGCACCGCAGACTTTGACAGCGTGGTGTCGGTTCAAAAACAAACAAAAGGCACCAAATATACTTTGTAGACCACTTTTCCACCAATCTCCAGCTTGAATTCTGAGCGAGCACCTGAGCATCTTTCTTGAAGGTCATGAAAGTGTGGCTGTAAAAGCTCTCCTTAGCCCCGAAACTTGTTTCTGGCAGTGGTCACAAGTGGATGCCCAGGAAATCATGAAACCAGAGCAGGCATATCCATTCCCCAGATACTCTCCCAGCCTCCAACAGTCCGCAGCTCAGAATCCCTCTAAGCCAGAGACTGCGTCACCAATAATAGTTAATAGTTTACTCTTCCATGAATTTACACAGTGTCCCAGCAAGGGTCCATATAAGCATAGGTGAGATTTTCCAAAAACTGAACAGCTGACTTTCAACAGGAGTGAGATATCCAGCTTCTTAGCATACTTTGGAATATCATATATTAATAAGCCTTATGGATATCTTTCTCTAGATATTCCAAACAGGCCCTCACACAATTATCTACTACTCCAGTAGTAGCAGAACCACATTTTTTGCTATGCACAGACTAACTGAAGCGTGAATGGGTACAGAAAATAGATTGGAAAATCAGGACAGAATGGCGTAAGAGCATTTCACACAGCACACACGACTCGTATGTTAAATGGCTAAAAATCTGTGAATTTATTTGCTCCCTCCAAGCGTCATTCTCCTTGCAAGAGACAATTAAACTCCTAAGGTGTCTCAGTACTTACTGGTGTTTTTGCAGGTAAGTGGACCAGATCCCGATACTCTTTTTTACACTGGAGAATGTCTCCAGAAATGCCACAATCGCCAAATGTGCACTCAGGGAGGCAGCAGTTCTCTTGATATTGAATATCATTAGAATCTGGGCCTCGGGATGAAATTCTTTATGTGCTGACAGACTTCAGCAGCGCACAGAAGGATGAAGGCCTTACAGAGACATTCGGCATAGTTTGTGAATTCTACCCTTTATGCAGTTGCAAAATAATTGTTCAGATAACTCAGATGCTGCATTAAGTTAACAAGGTAAAATACATCGATAATCCTTTCCCGCATTTTTGTTTGCCCAATGTTGTGTTTGAAATGAGGAATGTAAAATCAGTCTCATTTTTAGATGGAATAGATTTTTACACAGTTCAAACTCACAAACTACATTATTTTTAATCTGTTGCCTACTACATACCAATGAGGAAAATCTGGGTATCGTGTCTTAAACTGCTATGCAAATGATGCTATTTGTAAGTATTAACATAATTTAGTGCTTACAGTCATATTCTCATTTCTAATAATTCTACCAGAATGGAGAGTCTTTTCACTGTACTCTTAGCCTGCAGGATAGTCTTTCATCAAGAAGCTGAATTTTTTAATAACCTGCCAGCATACGTTTTGTATGTGGCAGCCTGTGCCGATGACACAATGTCTTCATTATCAAAAGAAACAGGTCTACACACTGTAATAGGACATTAAAGCATGCCTGTGCTCATAAACTAACGCTTTGATGTTTAAATGTGTATCATTACAATGGTATTCCTTAACAAAGGATGATTTTAATCCTCTGCTCTCAATAGTAATACTCAGCGGAGACTGCAATTCATTATATATAAAAAAGGTCTCCCGTTCTACAAAAGAGAGCTAAACTCAGAAGGCAGAAAAATTTGAACACACATATTCAAACAAGATGTTCGAAATGGCAGCAAGTTTCACACTTTGCCAAAGCCCACTTCAATACTGGTCTGGATTTATGGAAGCTTTCCTGTTGACTTTAGGAAATGAGCTCAAATACATTATTCTCTATATATTTTCCAACTTCCAACAAGTGTTTATGTTTAAGGGTTTCTAACGGCTTCATTCCTGGTTGCATCAAAGCTCAACGTAAACACAGTATAAAAGGGAAGCCAAAGAAAGCCAGTTACCACTACGTCCTTTACACAGAGTCACTTAGCCATGAAAGAATTAAAAAGGCACAGAAATAGAGACACTAATACTAACACTAGGTAACACCACTTACATAGGGAACTTACACCAGCAAAGAACTAGACTTGGTGAGTCATGTCTTCTGCCCCACCGACTCAGATGGTGGGAGCAGGACCCGGACATATTGTCAGGTTTATGTCCTCGAGAGCTCAGTGGCAAGATAATGCTTCCTCTGGGGTGGCTCACCAGTGCCCTACTTCGTACTGCTTGACTTGCGCAGAGTGAGGGATCTTTAGCAGATCAGAGAAATTAGCTCTTCAGCCTTATACAATAAGCTCTATTTTGTAATGTGGAATTATTTTGTAGTTGTCAAATGCAACAGAACTGTAATCAGCACAATTTGAAATTTTAATATACAATATAATTCAATCAAACAAAAATTTCAAAACAGTTTTGATTGAATTAAAAAAAAAATCAAAAGCGCTATAATGAGTAGTTTATGTAAATTAAACAATTCTTTCTGGGTACATTCCTTCTGGCTTTAAAACCATTACATTAGGAATGAATTTGGCACCATATACAGAAATATCAAATGCTTATTGAAATTACCACATTTAAATACCAATGAATATTTAAACTACAAATAGTTCTCTGACTGCCAGAACTAATGAAGTCTAGTTTCATATGGATTTTGCTGGGGTTAAAACGTATCATCTTACAGCCTGTCTCAATCATGTGGATTCTTAGGAATCTACTACTGCATGAGTTCATGCTATACTGTTTCCCTCTGTTAAGTATTTATAGGAGCTCTCTCCTTACCTAAACACCCACTGTAATACAGGAGTCTAATAATTTCCGAGACCTCGAGTGTTCTGTCTTTTACAGCTGAAAATTGCTAACGTGTTTAAAAGTTATTAGTGACAAAAAATGTACAGAAAAAATAATCCTTAGAAAACCAGATTAAAAAGTAATCGGTTTGTATGTGATTTCAAATTGATTAGTACTGTTCAACTACATTAGTCCAACACTTTTGTTTCAGTAATTCCAAGTTTCTCTGTAGACGTAAGGGTCTGCTGCCTATGTACTTCCATTTATACATGTTCTCACTTTGGATAAAAAACACTGTGTAAAATTTGCACATTATTGAGCATGAATGAAGTGTTACGACATCCAACTTACTCCACAGTTGGATGAAAGGCATTCATTCATATTTTGGAATATTTAAATGTTTTACCTGAATTCCTGTTACCTATTACTTTGTACAAGCTAGTCTGGTCTCTGTAATATCAACTCTTAACAATGTCTTAAAATGAAAGCTCAGGGAAAAGATTTACTGTGAGGAAGAACCCCAGTGAAGTATGAAGAGGCCATGACAACAAACACGACACCCTGCTCCTTCACTACTTACACGTGCCCACCGCTGACTCCATCTTTCAGCGCTGTGTCTCTGACATTCCTTTTGAACCCACTGGTAGCATTTCAAATGCGAAATAATATCACAATAGGCAGTGCCGTTTCCTCCAGATTCATCATTCACTTTAAACAACCAACGCCGCACCTCCATGTTGTCAATGATCAGCTGGCTGAGGACACCAATCATCTGCGGAGCAACGACATCAAGACATCTTGCATTATGACAACATCAAATTGTTCCTCAATTCAGACTTCCAGTTCTCAGATATTTGGACTTGACATTTATTATCTAAATATGGTTTCTTTTTCTTAGAGATGTTTGTGTTGTTACAGCTATCTCGGATACGTAGCGAAAGCAACCTTGAATGCTTTTTGATGAAGAATCTACGGTCTTCAGCCTGTACTTGAGTCCAGTTCTGCAGACTACCAAACAGCAACTGAGCACCTTTGGCAGTTGGTGAAGCTGTATTCTGCAGAGACAAATTTGCCTGTCCCGGCTTTTTCTGTCTGATCATGATCTGAAGTTTTGGATAATCGGTACTGCTTAATAAACGTTTGTGACAGAGAACAACATGGGATGGACTACGCTATTTGCAAAATCTGAGAAACAGTTGTGCCAGATTCTAACACCAGCCAAAACATCTGTGAAATTTTCCTACTGGAGAGTACATTATATGGTTATAAATGTATGAAGGAGTTACCAGGCAAGTTTTAAAAAATGCTAATTATTTATTTGTGTATGTACACAGATTTAAATAGCTTTAAAATGCCTTTTGCCCAGCTGGTGTAGGATGCAATTAGCTTCTTACAAACTGCAAATGCCTTTGAACTTAGTAAAAGTAGTATGAGATCTTGTTGAATTGGCTAGAGCCTTCTACATTTTTACAGAGTAATTTTTGGGACTTTTTATTGTTTTTAACGTTGACCTCAAATACAATTACATGTGTGTTCCAGATACTATTATTTGTGGCTTTTGAGAATCGCATAAATGTGTTTTTCTTGATGACTCCCCTACAGTAATGAAAAGGATCAATAATATTGTAAGGACTGTACCAGTCATAAAGAATTATGTTCTGTCTTTAAGTGAAAATTGAATTGTGCTTTACCATAGCGTCACCTTGCTTTGATTATTTAACTTAAAATGTCAATATTTCATACAAGCAAACAGCAGAAGTAGAACTTCCACAACACTGTAGTATGAATCAAAAATATTAGATTCACATAAATTATTTAACAATAAATCAAACATTTGTTTTTCAGATGACTGATCATATATTTTTTTCATCTGCTATAGAAGATGCAGTATATTTGTGCATGGTTTTCAGTGTTAAAGGTAATTCATAAAAAGTAAAGCAACGTGAAAACCCCCTCTAAGAAGTAGGAATACATACAAACCATGGCACTGATTGATTTCCTGTATGAGATGTAGAACTACCATGAAAATATTTTTTTTAAAAAAAAATCAGTATAGATTGTACTTAGACATATCATTGCAAATTGCAAAATAATCAGCTTCTAGAATGAAATACTGATACTGAATGCAAAATAAACATATGTAAACTGAACACAGTACAGAAAATTCTTCTGCCTTGTAATTTTAGTAATATTTTGTTCTTTTCTTACTGGTCATGCTAACAAGGACAGGTGAAATTAGCAATGATAAGCCAGGTACAAGGTAAAACTCTGGTTGCACATATGCTCAATTTGAACCTCAATTTGAACAGGCTGACTTCCTAAGTGGAAGAAATTTTTCCTTCATCAAATACTTAGTTTCCGAGAAATCCCTGTTTTATTTTCAGTCACTGGTAAAACTCCTATTAATCTCATTGAGGCCATGACTTCATCCATGGAGCAGCAATACAAACTGTTTGAAATAACCGGACCAAACACCCTTAGATACTCTCAAGAAAGAATATGAAGAATACCAGAACAATTGTATTACTTCCTGAGCAGGATACCAATTGCCTTTAATTGGTCAGACAGAGCCAAAAAGAACACAGCCTCATGCATGACTTAATCAAACCCAGCTAGGGTTGAATCAATACAGTCATTGCAATCGTACAAAGTTTGCATCCTATCAAGTGAAAACAGGTATCTGCATGTTGACACATCCCAGACCACATCCTGCTTACCTGCTCATAGGTGTAGATGTCAGATTCTCCAGGAGGGGTTGGCACACGAGCACTGGTAAAAATTCGTTTACTTCCAGACTTGCTACTATAGAGATGAGCCACTTCTGGCACTGAGCCTAATATAGGCACATTTAGCATGTCAGCCACTGCTAAATCATCTTTGTGGGGAACCCCTCCAATAATGTAGGCATCTCTGTTCTGGATAAGATTTTTTATTCTTTTGATTGTCTTGGGACTGTACTTCAGCTGAGTGGCTAGGCACATGCGATGCTTCTGTGTAAAGATAACATTATTCTTGTTAAAAGGTGTTCTTTTCTATTGCATGAACCTAATTTATAATGTTGCACACAATAAATACATTATTAATAGCAGGCTGGGTTATGACCTATCCTGTAGCTTAGCAGTTTAAATTGATAAAAGCTGTTGGGGTGAGGCTCCATAATCGTGCACATCTTTAGTGTGTTGGAAATGGGCTCACTGGGAATAGAACTAATTACTACACATCTGTATTTATTTGATCCGTGCGGAATTATCCTTCTGTCAGTCGGCAGAGAGGCTGGTGGCCTTTGGATAATAGTGATTCATCTCAGCAACACTTCTGGCATGGTTTAACTCTAAAGCTCCTAAAAATCAATACAAAAATGAAGAAAAACTCCTATAGCAGGGAATGTATTTCACCATACAGTTCAGCAGTATTTTTAAGTGATTCTCTGAGAATAAAACACTTTGATTTACAAAAGCTTTCACTGATCACATTAAATTACTGGGGATATACATTTCCATTACACAGTAGTTCTGATAGCTACTGCAAACACAACTGCAGAGTACTCAAGGAGAGGGTAATATTTTTGTTGTTTGAAATACAGGGGTTTCAACTTTTTGGAAGGAATTTTTCATTTCTCCTAAAAAAGATCTATTGCTGAACAAACCATTCATGACAGGTGCTATAACCTTTAAATTTAAACTAAGCCTACTAGTCATGGCAGGTGAAACCACAAAAATATTTTCTACAACATATCCTATGCGTTGCCTGCAGATTACCTTTGGAAAGATAATTGGGTTTAGACAGAGGTGCACTGAGGTTGAGACAGATAGGGACAGACATCATGCAGAAATGGTACAAGAGACATCCACTGCAATAGATTGCCGTAAACAAATCATAATCATAAAAAGAAGAAAATCATCACATTAAGATTTCATCTAATTTAGGCCCTAGTCAGCAAAGTATTCCTTTCCAGGATAGCATAAATACTGGATTTGCTAGAGATTTCCAGGGCTGAACAACCCAGAATATTTTCCTTCAAAGTCCTGGATGCTCCTTCACAGGGACTGAAGTGTAAATCCTGTTTTCCCACACTTGTATGGGAATGATGGTGGATAAGGAGGTGGGGGAGATCCTGGAAGTGGACAAAAGGAATCCCCTTTTGTCAATTGTCAGTGCTTTCTCACACCAAACACACAGCTCCTAAAAGCACCCAAGTCTCTCCGTAAAGAGTCAGACATACTGGAAGGACAGTGAGGATGTAAGGCAGAGTAATGAGATACTCTTCAAAGTTCTAGTAGGAAAAAGGGAGTCGCAGAAGTATAAGGGCAAAGAGAACAAGCAGCAAGTCTGGAGTCTTTTTCCTTCTGTCAATTTTAAAACAGAGATTCTTAAAGTTCTGATTCATTTATTTCCTTTCTCTTGAGCTCCGGTATAAAAGCAGGGAGACGGCCCGTTCTGCTGGTCTCGTGGCAGAGTTCTGCCATGTAGAGAACAGGATCAATTTCCAGCCCCGGTCACTTGCTCCCTGGGGCCACGAGTGGTGATGTAGGGACGAGATTTGCTTTGTGTCTCTCAATAATGGATTTTACAGTTAATTAAGGAGTGCAGGAAACAGGCTGTAAAATCTAGTTCATTCCTGCTTTGAGAGTGGTATAGCTGCCATGATATATAGTAGTGCGAGTGAAAGCAGGTAAAAGCAGAACTGAGGAATCCTCAGAATTCCAGCACGACTGCACAGAATAGTGGTTAGAAGGTTAACCAAAAGGTTAGTTCTTGGTTCTCAAGCCTGTTGATTTATTTTTTTAAACTTCTCAAGATCAGAGAAGCCAACCTTGGCATCAGCCTCACAATGATGCACAAAGCTCCCCTGATGCTGTTTTGATACGCTGCTCGCAGGGAAACAGGGTAGTGTAACCCTTTCTTAGAAGTGTTTCACGTCACACCTGGATGCACCAAGTCACAAGAGGTCATTCAATAGCTGGCCAATGCTTAAGGACAATGGTATATGGACACCCCTTTCTCCCAGTCTCCCTCTGCTTCCTCCCTGCAGACGCCAAGGAACACAGGGCTATCTGCATCTAGGTGTCTGTTCCACAGATTTTCTTTCCATCCAGTTCCATCAAAATAGCTAGGAAACTGGGCAAGGCTGGTTTGTGCTTCCAGAATTGCTCAAAGGGCCCTGCTAAGGTGGCCTTCAAGCCACACTTTCATATATTAGGAATAAATTTAAATACATCAGGTACAACAAAAGCTTTGTATTAAATAACCCAAGAGAGAGATGCTTTTAGGAACCTATAAAGCTCTAACCCTTACAGAGCCAGAGAGACAGCTAAATCCACAGTCACTGAAGCCAATGGAGGACCAGGATCAGTTATGAGTACAGATTCTTCTCCACACAAGAGAGAGTTCTTGGACACATTAGTTAACAGATAGGAAAGAACATACGTTTAATGAAAACAAGGTAGTTTGAGGATTTTGCATATAAACAGGTGCACCACACTGAAGGGTACATACCTCAACCTGGTATCGCGTAAAACCTGTGATTGCCCATTCTTTCTGCTGGCACTTGGCACTAATACACTTCTCAGCATTCCACAACTGGGCGAGCAGCACGATCCACAGCCAGTAAAGAACTGTGTAGCCCTTGTAACTAAGGTTACCTCCCTACATCAGAGCATGTAACTCATCCCAGTGAATCATACCTGCACAATAAATTTTCACAAAGCTGTTTGCTCTTCATCTAGACAAGAAACTTTGCTTGGAATATTTCAATAGAAATCAGAAGAGCGAAGGCTATACGCAAGAGATGCATGCCTGAAAACAACCTGCTTTACATTATTTGGCAGTTAGTACTGGAAAAATAACCCAGTATGCAGAGAAAAAACAGCTACAATTGTCAAAGTGCAATTTAAAAAGAAAAAAATATATCATTGGTATTTCTCAAGGATTTACCATCCCAATAATTTTACTTTACAAGGTGAAGGCCCAGCACAGGCAGCTGTGATTCTTGTAGGTTTCCAGTATTCAGATAAAAGGACAATACTACAGAAAAGCCAGCTCCTAAAACCACAAATATCATCCTGATGCCTTTCTCCAAACAAAACACATACAGAATTTATTTTAACTATGGCAGAACTATCAGACAGCTGTGACTCAGGGGTCCCTCCCTACACAGCAAAAGAGCTAAGCACCTTTCTCACATAGGCATTTTCAAACTATTTCAACAGAAAAGGATTCATAAATATACGCAAGTGTTTTGCTGAACAGTACGCTACTATAGAACTAAATTTGAAAACCACCCCATCTACACATTATAAAAAGCTCCTTTACCTTCTGAAGCCATCGGTTTCAATCAATATATGGTATAACAAATACTTGTTCAACAAAATAACTAGAAGATGGTTATTAACATATATCAAAAATGGGAGCAGGGCTTCAAGCATAGACCCTGGAGGTATAAATGTACCACAAAGTTTCATAAAAATCAAATCTCAGCTAAGACAGTGTGGACTTCGTATTTACAATATAAAATTATTCTCCACTGTAAAGAGTCTTCACCGCACTGCGATATTTTCAGAAACACTGTACATAGTGTACATTCATTAAGGTCTCTTTTTAGACCATGTTTCAGCACATGGATTTGAAACTGACTTGGCAGGTTTGGAACTAATCTTTCTGTGTTACCTACCCTAAGTTGTTTTACGTTCTGTTCTTTAAGAAGTTCTACATTGGTTTTAATTGCAAGAAATACTACAAACACATGAATGATTGAATATTGGGCTACCCAGAGATAAAGCCTGAGTAATAAGAATGGTTTATTGCTACGATTTGCTTAGAGATATAAATCTATCAAGTTCCCAGTCCCAAGCATATAGTAAGAAGGGACAGTGGTCTACAAATAGCCAATATAGGACTATCTCAACTAAGTCTATAAAGCTAAACCGGGATATTTATTTCCAATGCTCTAACTAGTAGTCTAATCAGTAAAGCCCTTAAACTTGCAATAATATTTCACTGATGTGTACCAGAGCGTTACAAGTTATAAAATTTCCAATTTAATTTTACTGCATCCCTCAAGCTGTAGTAATTAGAAGACAAACTCACAGGGAAGCTGTTTATAGCTTGAGGGGTGAGAATTTTGAACCTGTCCTGCAGGTCACCCATGTCCTCAGGGTTCCCAGATCTAACAGCTGCCTGCAGACCCAGGAGTTTATTGTAATACTGCAGTAACTCCTCACTCAGATGAAGGGGGCAGATGTAGATGACGTCCACGTTGGCATCTAAAACAAAGGGGCACAATGTTCGTTATTGGGAGAAAGGTAGACTCCATTCAGAACAGCAATCTGATAATTCCTGAGCATTTGCTAACAAACAACTTCCCTAAAAGAGAACTGGAAATAAAAATGAGATCTTTAATTCCCAAATCTTAGTGGTTTAACTGCTTTTTCTGTGCTTCAGCATTTCTCTGAAGACAGGTCAGCAACCCAAAGAAATAGCTAGTTTTCAGAATTCAATCTGCAGAACATATTGGGGGCAGAATTTTGAAAGTGTTGCAGGGGGATTTATATGCGCGACTCACATTAACATCAATGGGAATTGCGCGCTGCTTTAAAAAAATATCCCATTAACTTCAGTAAATTATAAAACTGAGCTATTAAGTTTAGAAAGCTGATGAAATTGCAATTTCATATGCTGCCTGGATTTTGCACGGCCTGTTCCTATTCTCGTCCTGTCCACATAAAAGCTCATGGTAGGATACCATTAATAACTATTGCTGAGCATGTGAGTGTGCAGATTAGCTAGTTAAATACCACAGTGTGAAAATCTGTTTTTCTGCAAGTAAAACAACTTGGGCTGAAAGACAGTGTATACACAAACACTTAGAGGTGAGAAAGTGGAAGTCTTTAATACATGCCGTTTTGGAAAATTCTAACTACTCCGCTCCTCTAAAATATTAATGTTAATAGAGGAGCTAATGAATTAACGGGCCTTGCAACATCAATAGAATACACTGCCAAAAAGCACTCCTAGATTTTTGCTGAAATCAGTAGGAAGTCTTTCATTGTCTTTACTGGGCACAGGAACAAGAGCCTGTAAAGTGTCAGGGACAACTGCTAGTACATATGAATGAATCAGAAGCAAAGCAAGTGTTGGACTAAGGAAACCCCGAGCCTAACGTTATAACGGAATAAGATATCCCACTCATTCACTTTGTTTCGCCGTACTGCTACAGGCAAACAACCCACATTACAAATGTAAGGTCAGAATCTCAACTGAAGCATTTTAGTAGTACAGCATTCAACAACCAGCCCCGACAGAGCCTTTACATAATACAGTTCATTACCATACAGGTTTTTAAAATAATTAAGAGAACAGTTCATTAGAACTGTTAGTTAATACTCTGTTGCTTTTATGCATTTACTCAGACTTGCAAAATGTGCCTGAAAATTTACCAGCTAGGGTACAAAAAGACTCACTAATGTCAGCTGTAATGCTGAAAGGACTGCACTGTCAAAAATCGACAAGCTCAAGTGAATTTGTTGAATAAAATGCTGCAAGACATTTTACTACTCCTACTGCTGCCCTAGAAAGAGATATACAAGTCTGCTTTGGACACAGTGAGGCTCCAGAGACAGGTTAGCTAATAGCAGGTCATAACAAGCAAGGAAATCCTCTGGTATTCTAAAGAAAAAGCCAATATGGTAAATACCAAAGCCCTTTGCCAGGCACAGGTAAAGCTTCTGAACTAATTAATAATTTAGTTAACATTTAACTAGTTTGTGTCTTACTCATGTTCTACTTTACATTTAATGGTAGAACCAATTTCGATGTTCACAGGTTTTAAAGTGATAAAGAATGCCTGTATAATGTGTTGACTTTGTCCCTTCAGGTTTCTAACTATCTTTTTAAAGACAAAAAAAAAAAAATCTATGTTAAAAAAATGAAAAAATAAAACCGTACTGTGGAAAAACAAGATTAGTACCAAGATAATATATATAAGGCAATTACATTATTATTTTAGGCAACTGTAAATTTCTGGATCTAATATATTTTTGTCACAAACTTACTAAATGGCATTTATAAAATAATAATGATACTGAAATATACATGAATCATGTAAAGTATGTCATTCCAGGGAGCCAATGAAGCTGGTCATTGACAAATAATATTCTTCACAGCTTTGCTTAAGAGGACTGTCATTCTAGGAAAAACTTTCTAATGTATGCTTTTTCCCTTGTTTACCAATTTAAAAAAAAAAAGGTTTAAATAAGGGCTTGCTCTTTTCTAGCACATCTTTCTCTCCGTATGAGCCTGAATGAATACTAGCAGAATTAGCTACCTAATTTTGTAGAACACTAAACACTTTTGATCGTTTGTGGTGCTCAGCATGCCACAGGATGAGGCTGCTTTACCTTATCACAGAGTAAGAAAGAATCAGCATGTTCTTCCTATGAATAATGTGGACAGAGGCAAATGCCATAGCAGATAAATTACTTCTCAGCTTATATTTTCTCTACAGTTAACATTAATACAAAAAGAAAGTCCTCATCGGTCATTCTCTATTACTCACAACTATGGGAAAATAACAATCAAAAAATAGGCAGCCAAGAGCGCATAACATACCCAGTATGTCACACAGCCTTCCCATCTGCATGTTCTGCTGGAGAGCAAGATCAGGAGTATGCTCGCGGATGCATTGGGAATATCCTGGAAAACAAGTAAAGCCTCTTGCAAACTGTATTCAGAAACTCCCTGGCATGTATTTGAAACAAATCAGACTTTTGAATTAAAAAAAAGCTGCAATAAAAGTATTTCAAATCCCAAGCATGGTACAGCATTCGCTGCATCGTCTTTGTGAATTTGCTTTTATTTGGGAACTGATGTAACCTCATGTTTTTATGTCATGAGATTTTAAATATCGTCCTAAATGTTACAGATGTATAGAGCTTTATAATTTAAACATGTAGACTGAGTATTTTGTTTGAGTCTTCTATGTTGCTGCGTTTTGGTTTTTTTTAAACACTGAAAAAAATGACACCATCATTAAACAAAAATCCTGGTACATTTTGTCCTTCACACAGATAAAAGGCAACAAAATCACTTCATTAAGGAGATGAGATGTCCCAGTGATACCTGATCACTTTGTTGCAGAGGATGAATGAGTGGCAGCCTGTCTGAGCTTGGATTATCTATTTGGAGGTCAGACTTCCAACTGATTGCATACTCGCATTCAAAAAGACTGCAGTAAATGACACGACCGCTGTAACTATAATCTCTAATCCTCTAATTTTTAAATTCAGTTAATTCTAAATCAATCAGTGTGTTTATACAAACGCACACAACCACACAGTGTGAGTTGCTAGTTGCAGTAGCTGTGATTAAATCAATAAGGAAGTGCAGCCTAATATTCAGTGTTTGGCATAAAATCCCGACTGAGCCAGTAAAGAGATCCTTACAACATTTCCATATATCTGCACATGACCGATTATCTGAAAACTTCTGAAAAACTTAGTTTGACTAAAATCCGCTCAGTATTTCAATGCTTTCCTTTTGGAAGATAGTAATAGCTCATCTTCCAGGCAAATTAGAAGGACAATTATTGTAAGCAATCAGCATTCTAAGGTACTGTGGCAATATCACTTTGCACACAGGAGAGTAGAACGCAATAAAACACAGAGAAATGGAAATCACCAGTTTCATTTTTAGTAATTTCTTGTAAAACTTACATTTTGTAGTTAGCACAATGGTACCAGGCACCTGCAGAACTACACGAATGTAACAGATAGTGATTTGTTTGCCACTCTAATATTAAGCTACCGTAATTTGAAAAGCTTGCTCTGATTACTTCAACTTCAGTCTCAAGTCTTCATTTTGTTCTCTCAGGTGGGGACCAATTTCAAGCCACGAACAGTGCTGCCTCACAATATCAAAACCTTTAAATTTCAAACACAAAGTAGCTGATTTCCCCGCACTAAACTGTCCTCTTGAAAACATATTTGTTTTCCAGAACTAAATCTGGGCTGAAAAATAATGTGCAAATATCACTTGGAAAATCGGTAATTATTCAAAAGGAATAAAAGTTAAAGTAGCAATCAAACGGAAGTTAGAACTTGCACGCCGCTATGGTTCTGCAGATACACTAGAGCATTATACCAACTACCACGTGTGCTTTGCTTAGATATGTTAATAAAACATATTCATTCACAATATATTAGCTGCCATTGACATGACCCCATTAGATTTAATGAGAGGAATATTCACTCCTTGTGTCTCATTCACCTTCCAATGGACATTATGAACCACGTTAATCCCCACACCTGATACATTCTGAACACTCTGTACTTAGACGGCCGGTCATCTGACAATGCTTATTAAAGGCAGAGGCTTAATATCCCTCGCCTTGCAGTTTAAACAAAATTCAACCCAAATGAATTACATATACTGTGATCACAGTCTACGTGTTCCAGTACAACTATAACCGGTGACATCATTTCTGTTTGGTTATGCACAGCTGGTTTACGTATCATTAACATTTTGCACTACACCATTTGGTCTCAAATGCACGAAACCTTTCAGAGAAATTCGCATTTTCTAGAAGCAAAAGCTCCTATTTTGATTCAAAGAACCACTACTTTAGTTGATCTATACCTGCAATCTGGGTAAGTTGCACTCCACATGGTGTCTGAAAATAGTGATGTTGACAAAAGCTGGCGGTGGCAGAGCACTTGAGGATGGGGCCGTTCATTCACACAAGGCACCAGCCCATCATGGCACCCCACTGGTGGAGCTGGTCTGCAGGAGGGTGGACCTTGCACAGCGAGAACTAAGAATTTTGATTTCTCAGTCCAGCTGCACTGAAAGGATACTGAGGTCCTTCCTCCTTCACGTGAGTTTTACGGTAGCATATGTGCAATGACTTCAGTGGAATTCTCCCAATTCACACAGAGGGAAGTATAAGGAGAGTTATAGAAGTACTAAAATAAGGGGTGTATGAATTAGTGGTAAAGAGCCTGCTTTCACCTTCCTTTTCAACCTCAGCCATGACCTAATGCCCTTTAACTGCCATTTTCGTAATAAATTTTGCTCATCTCTAAGTGTCTTCTCTCAACAAAGAATCCACAACACTTTTCAAACCTGCCTTTGATAAAAGCGGTCGCAGCTCAGAGCGGGAGGTGGTTGACAGTTTAAGTAACCACAGGGCAATGTCTGAAGGGGAAGAAGCCATCTAAGATTCAGCCACCTTGTGCTTCCCAGCGCTTGGGACAGGTTTAATAAATAATACCTAACTTTTCTGACCATACTTGGCACACCTACTGTTCAGCTGAAATGGCTTTTAAAAAGGATTCATGTAGCACAAGAGGAAGCTTTGATAAATATACAGTAGGTTATATAAGGTGGCAAATTTTATTTATTGTAAAAGTAACTATTTGGGTAGAAAGATTGATCAATCATTTAAAAATAGTTGAATGAAAAGAGAAACAGTATTTGAATCCCAAATACTGCACATTAGAGTGTGGGACTAAATGATTAGATTATTAAATCTGATTCAAATTAATTTTTCCTTACGCTAGCTGACAAAAATGCTAAACAATCTTCAAACAATGGAATCTACTTTCTTTTTTTAGCTATACCAGAAATCCAAAGTTTTTGTTTTGGTAAAATAAATGGAAACATTTGTTCCTCACAGCAGTATAGTTTAGGACCTTCACTATCCCTTTTCCTGGATTATTTCCAGAAACTTGACAAGAGTCTGAAACTGATGTGAAAATGAAGACTGCTGAGAAATTCACAGTTATGACTCTATCTCAATTTGTCGGGATTCCACGTGCGTGGGAAGAAAAATCAGACTCCGATTTGCCCTAAATGCTGAAGTCAAGGAAACGTGAGTAGAGAATTTCAGGCTCTATTTTTGATTTACAAAACTGAACAGAGAAACCACTAACAGCATGTCATCAAACCTCTGTGTCTTCCTGTTTATCTGCTCTGTCTCAGTTCTTGTAATTTAGACATATTTTGATGATTATCCAGACTCAGGCCTTAAAAAAAACCAAACACCTGCTGTAATCAGCTGTCATTTTGCATATTTAACCCTGTTAA